ATTTATTTATTTATTATTTATTATTTATTATTATTAATTAAATTTCTATACCGCCCTTCTCCAAAAAGGACCCAGGGCAGTGCACAGCCAAAGTAAAAACAGAGCATACAAAATTTAAAAACAGCATTAAAATAATTAAATATTTTGGCCGTAAATTAAAACAATCCAATTTAAAATCAATTTAAAATTAAACTCAAGCCAGCCTAGCTAGTTGAAATAAATAGGTTTTCAGGGCCCGACGAAAAATCCGGAGGTCTGTTATTGTACGTAACTCTGGGGGAAGGTTGTTCCAGAGGGTGGGTGCCGTCACAGAGAAGGCTCTACCCCTGGGGGTCGCCAGCCGACATTGTCTGACGGACGGCATCCTGAGGAGGCCCACTCTGTGCGAGCGTACTGGCTGGTGGGAGGCTATTGGTGGCAGAAGGCGGTCTCGTAAGTACCCCGGCCCTAAGCCATGGAGCGCTTTAAAGGTGGTCACCAACACCTTGAAGCGCACCCGGAAGACCACCGGGAGCCAGTGCAGCTTGCGCAGGAGAGGTGTCACATGGGAGCGTCTCGTCGCCCCCATAATCCCCCGCGCGGCCACGTTCTGGACCAGCTGGAGCCTCCGGGTGCACCCCAGGGGGAGCCCCATGTAGAGAGCATTGCAGTAGTCCAGGCGGGAAGTGACTAGTGCCTGAGTGACTGCGTAGAGAGTCCCGATCTAGAAAGGGACGCAACTGGCGTATCAGGCGAACCTGATAAAAAGCCCCCCTGGCCACGGCCGTCAAATGGTCTTCTAAAGACAGCCGTGCGTCCAGGAGGACGCCCAAGTTACAAGCCCTCTCCGTGGGGGCGAGTGATTCGCCCCCAATACCCAGCGATGGCGTCAGCTGGCTATATCGGGACGCTGGAAGCCACAGCCACTCGGTCTTGGAGGGGTTGAGTCGGAGCCTGTTTCTCCCCATCCAGGCCCGCACGGCCTCCAGGCACTGGGACATCACTTCAAGGGCATCGTTGGGGTGGCCTGGGGTGGAGATGTACAGCTGGGTGTCATCAGCGTACTGATGGAACTCTACCCCGAAGCCGGATGATCTCACCCAGCGGCTTTACATAAATGTTGAACAGAAGGGGCGAGAGGACTGACCCTTGTGGCACCCCACAAGCAAGGTGCCTCGGGGTTGACCGCTGCCCCCCCGTCAACACAGATTGCGACCGGTCAGAGAGGTAGGAGGAGAACCACCGCAGAACGGTGCCCCCTACCCCCAACCCCGCCAACCGGTGCAACAAGTTACCATGGTCGATGGTATCAAAAGCCGCTGAGAGGTCTAACAGGACCAGGATAGAGGAGCAACCCCTATCCCGAGCCCTCCAGAGATCATCCATCAATTTTACCTCTATCTTCTCATTCTCTTCAATAAAAAAACATTAACTAGTTAATACTGATGAAATTTGTATTGCATTTGAAAAGATAGCCAAAATAAGAAAAAATAGAGCACAAAAATATTAAAGCTTTTGGATTTCTAAAAGGTAAAACATAGAGGAAAGATGCAAGTTTCTGTAACAGCATAGAAAATTGAATCTTAGCTAAATTGTAACATTCCTCATATGGTTTATACAGAATAGCAGTTCTTTTCCAATTATAATATTGCACAGGGAGAATTCAAAACATAGTACACAACTTCAGCCACACCAAATATTATGACAGTCAGTGAACTAACTGGGGAAGAAGAAAACTTCTATAAAAGCCACACACAGAACAACACAAAGCACACATTCTTCAAGGAGAAGTTCCTTGAAGAGAGGTTCCAGTATGATTCTGAAGGGTCGGAAGATAAAACCGTTGGATCTGGTGATCGACCCACATTGGATCCTGCAACATTATCCTGGGACACATATATTTGCCATCATTTGAAAGAAAAAACATGCTCCTGAAGGCAATTTTTTTATACTAACAATGATACCTTTTCAAAAAAGAGTAAACCTACATACCTTGAGTTCGGGAACATTTCTTATCAGTGACAAGGGTTTCTGGACCCCTGCCTAGAACTACAGTCAAACCATCAGGCAGAAGAACTGGATCATGTCGCTTATCTTGACTGATGAGAAAGCACTGCATACTGGTGAGCATCCTGAAAGCAATGAGAGACATTTGGCATCCAAGCAACACAGTGTCATGCTTAGTTTTCTATGATCCCCTATATAGCAAATCCCACTGAAAGCATGCAAGAAATACATTCCACACTAAGAACATGTGTTAAACTTTGGGAGCAGGTTGAGAAGTTGTTGCACGAAAAGAAAGCTAAATTTAGAAAGTATTGTTCTCAGAGACTTTAAATCAGTGTTTTTCAACCTTGGCAAACTTGAAGATGTGTGGACTTCAACTCTCAGAATTCCGTAGCCAACATGGCTGTCTGGATAATTCTGGGAGTTCAAATCCCTCATCTTCAAGCTACCAAGATTGAAAAACATTGCTATAAATCAACTAGAGAAATAAAAAAAGTGGTAGGCCAAATGGAAACAAGATAGATAGATATAAACCCTTACAAGAAACATTCATTATTACAAGTTAAATGTTTAAATTATCTGAATATATTACTTAGATTAGTGTTTCTTCAAACTTTTTGCACTTAGGATTCCATCCCACTTTTACAATAACTATGGAGGACCCCAAAACACTTTTGTTTGTATATTTATCAATATTGGTCCTATAAAAAATTAAAATCAATGCATTTGCAGAGTATTTATTGAATCATGTAAAAATAACATTAAACTCATGGGATGTTGACATATTTTTCACAAAAAACCCTAGTTTTGAAATATATATTTAAAAATTACATTTTAAATGTTTGCAAATATTTTCAATTTTCATTTTGATTTCACAGATCCTAAAGAGCCTTGGGGAAGCCCAAGGGTCTTCACACCACATTTAAAAAATACAGTTTTAAATGATCTAAAATTCTGGGCAGCAGCCAAAAAAAGACTGGAAAAAAAGAGGAAATAATTCAACAACCTGGACTGGGATTTATATACCCGTTTAGAAAGAGATCTTCTTTTTATGAAAGGATTTCAGTTCTGTCGCCCACGTGAAGTGGGAAGCAAAAGTTCCACCTTACCAAGGCTCCTAACTAGTAAATGGGATCATAAAAATCTAATTCTGCATCCGCAGAAACATGAAGACCTAGCTGAGACGCTATTCCTGAACACGAAGCCCGAAAGGCGGAACAACACCTTCCAACGATCCGAGTAGGAAGTGAACTTCATCCGCCCTCGGACGAAACAGTTTGTGTAGCTTTCATCCGAAATATTCCCCTCTCTATAGAGGTAGGAAACTAGAGAAAGACACACTATCTTCACTGGGAGGAGAAAACGAAAGACATCCAATTTTCATGTCCTAAGGATGCAAAAGAGTCATAAAGCTGGAAGAAAAGTAATCCGCTTTTAGAGGGAGATTTCCATTAGGCTCTAAAGCTGCAGCCCCGCACACTTTTGCCCAGGACAAAGCCACACTAAGTGGGCACATCCCCTTTCAGAATTCAACCCTTCCTGATTCATTCTATGTAGGGAGAATCTGCCTGCCTGCCTGCGTATCTATCTATCTATCTATCTATCTATCTATCTATCTATCTATCTATCTATCTATCTATCTATCTATCTATCTATCTATCTATCGTCTGTCTGTCCTGTCCCGTCCGTCCATCCATCCATCTATCTATTTACCTACCTACCCACCCACCCAGCCACCCATCTCCGCAGGGAATGATTCATCAGTAGAATTTTCGGGGGTTTTTCCCCCACCGCACGCACAAACGCAGGTGTGGGAAAGCAAGTTTGTTGCTTGGATCGCGAAGACAGATTGCAGGGAAAAGACTGAAACTCCTTTATCCTCCTGTGTCCTTGCAGCCATCAACACTTCAGCCCCCCGCCCTCCTCCTCCGCCATCAACATTCCCCAACCTGGTGCTCTCCAGATGTAATTAACAGTTCCCATCACTGGTGGGGAAGTCTGGTGTTGTCCACCAACGCATCGAGGGTGGGGAAGGAGGGCACCAAGTGAAGAAGGGAAGCACACCCAGCCACGGTGGAGAAGGAAAAGTCACTGGTTATTCGATTGTGCTCAGAACGATATAGTTGGAAATTGCTTGTTAAGGATAGATCGTCACAGAGAAAATCTATTTCTGGAATTGCTAGGAATGAAAAACGATTTGATAGCATGTAATACTTTGTTTAAAAACTGCCCACCGAGTAGCGACAAATCACCTTCCCCAAACACACCTTAGGCTGCGGCAAAGGTCTAGTCAAATGGTTTTCCCGGCGGCCCATCCAGCCCAAATTCGGTGCTGAGCGATCCGCAGAAGCAACAGCTTCATACTCCACGGACTGATTGGCGGTAGACTAGCCGACTTTGCATTTTAAGTGAAGCGCGGTCACAATTTGGGCCGAGTCGGAAATAGTATACGACTCTTTATTCCTATCTCTACGGTAGCTCTGTGCTTTGAGTAGGCCCCCTTCCGGGGGTGCACGAGAAGGATTGGAAATGAGTTCCGGCAACTTTGGTTCCCTTTCAAGTTGTTCCCTGCGAATTAAGGGGCTCCTATGATAAAAGGATATGTAATTTGCCAGAAATGACCTGGGTCACTCACTCCTAAAGAATAACCGGTAAAAAAATTTTTAAGCTTGATGCTGTTACAAACAAAAAGCAACATGGGCGGGGGTGGGACAGGAGGGCTTACTTTTTTTAAAGTGACAATTGGCGTGTATGAATATGTCTGTATAGCATACTAGCTGAGTGAGAAACACTGAGCTATGCCTTTCTTTTTGCCCCTATTTGGTGATATGTGATTAGATTCCACGTTAAAGTCATTCTAAATCTGAAACAGTTTACTTTGTGGAGGGGATTTTATAGGGATGATGATCAGGAATTATTGTACAAAAAGATCTGAAGGTTTCTGGATTTTTAAAAAAATATCTTAACTTTTCATGAAATGCATTTAATTCAATATATTATAAAATACCACATGATTAACAGCACTAATTTCCTTTTATTTATTAAAGTTCCAGACATATGCATTCTAATGCTTCTATTATATACTTCTAGCAATGTTAGAACGTTTTCCATGGGGTCACGATGGGTCAGACACAACTTTGCAACTAACAACAACAACAACAACAAGCAATGTTAGAAGAAGTAATATTAATTTAACCATAAAAGTGACATTTTTTAAAGAAAATTGACTTTGTATAAATGACTTGATTTTTAAATAACCTTTTAGTTACCATTTGGTTCACAAACAAGTTCACAGTTTAAAAACCCTAAAAAGACTGAAGGCTAACATTGAAAGCTAAATGCCATAATTATTCTCTGGAACAAACTTTATCTTCTAGCAATATAATACCATTCTGCAATTATCTATAACTGACCGTAATTACTGTTTTCCCCCCTTGCTAATCTCCAGAGTGCTGGGAAGACTCCCATGATTAAAAACAAAGCTGAGAATCAATATTCCATTAAGAGAGCAGCAGATTTTTTGACCTCAGGTCAGGGCATATCAAATATGATGGAGAGCTAGAATCCTCTTTGATAGGATTGATTGCTGGGTTTAAGAAACAAACTTAAAAACAGCTTGGAAATGGGCAGGAAGTGGCAGAGTTAAAAATTATTGTCCTAATAAAGCTGCTCCTAATGTAGCCAGGAGGAAATATATTACCTGATACAATGATATTGATTTATCAGTGAAATTAACCATATTTGAAACAACTTTAACTTGATAATGGTGCAGGGGAAAGACTAAATGCCTGATTCTCAGTAACTCCTTTGTTCACTTAATTTTGCCTAGCCATGGCTATGTTTAGTTTTCTGTCTGAAAGACATTTAATGTATACTGGTATAGGTTTTCTTAACATAAAAAGTATAATTTGTTTTACTGACCAGACATCACTTATGTTGAAAATACCAAGAGGGAAATTCAGGTTAAATACTGAGGATTGCTGCCTTCTGTCTGTTTGCAAACAAGCAACTTCCTCTCCCTGTATATAAAGGATCTTTGGTCATGTGCAGGTTGAAATGGATACAATATTCTTTGTATTTCCCAGAACTGAGTGGGTTAAGCAAAAGTCTTGGGTGATCTAACTTTTTTTTTTCACTCTAGAATCCTAATCATCTAGTAGGTATAATTTTAAAGTATAAACCAATCAAGTTTTTTTCTCAAGCAAGACACAAAACTAATTACATGATTAGGAGAATATCTTTTGGCTTGCAAGTGTCAACTATGCTGTTGTCTGTGAATCCCAGCCATTAGAACTGATGGATATATCATCAGTTAGAAAAGTTCTAGTTTCTACTCATTATTATATTAGAAAATGTTATCACACATGATTTCACTTACTCTTCTTGTACAATACCAAGTGCATGGCACCTTGGTTGATTCAAAGACAACTAGGAAAGAGATATCAAGCAAACATGCACTTGAGAAATTAATGTCAGCCTGGATTGTCCATATGAAGACTTATGGAGGTAATTATCTTAAGAATACAGAAAGCTGTTTTGTAATAGGTCATATCATTGCATTATCTATTTTCATTAATAGTTTTAGGGCTTTTAGGCAATAAGAAAACATTTCTATCTCCTGCTACATCAAGATTCTTTTGATAGGTATGCCAGGGACTGAACCTTGGGCCTCCTGCATATGAGTCATGGACTTTAATTAATTCCCATTTATTCCTTTAAGGCATAGCATGTCCTACCTATTCCCATTAATATTATATCAGGTGTATCCAGTGATAAGACGTTCATCCAAAAGCTCTGAGCAGCATATCAGAACCACAGTTTCTTGCTAATTTATATCAGGAATCATGGGAAAATCAAAGTATAACCAATAGAAACAAAGAACATTTCCCCCAAACACCCCAGAAAAGCTAGTCTCCTCAGGTTTGCATCATATTATTTCTTTTTGAATTTTGAAGAGCTCAATGTAATTGTGACCTAGCCATCAAAAGATTGCCCATCTCAGTGCTTACACCAGAGGTGGGTTTCAGCATGTTCTGACCAGTTCTGGAGAACCGGTAGCGGAAATTTTGAGTAGTTCGGAGAACTGGTAAATATCACTTCTGACTGGCCCCACCCCCATCTATTCTCTGCCTCCCGAGTCCCAGCTGATTGGAGGAAATGGGGATTTTGCAGTAACCTTCCTCTGGGGTGGGGAGGGAATGGAGATTTTACAGTATCCTTCCCCTGGAGTGGGGTGGGAATGGAGATTTTACAGTATCCTTCCCTTGCCACGCCCACCAAGCCATGCCACATCCACCAAACCACACCCACAGAACCGGTAGTAAAAAAATTTGAAACCCACCACTGATTTACACCCATATATCATTGTTTTAGCAATAGCATTTAGACTTATATACCACTCCATATAACAGCACTCTGAGTGGTTGACAACATTCTGAGTCTTCATTTTACCGACTGCAAACAAAATTAGCAGCTGATTCAGTTATCAATATAAGTATAGGACAGGATTGTTATCTATTGTTTTTGCATGCCTGGTATATCAATTGTTCTAATTGTCCACATTTCATTCTCATTGAAATGCTGTGAGGTAGATAATTCATATTCCCAATGAAGGGAACTAAAGTCAGACGTAGGGTATTTGTAGCTGAACTGAAATGTGATCCTGGATTCTCAATTATTTCCTGCTGAAGCCTACATTTTAATTATCTGAGGCATCAAGTGTTGAGACACTTTTGGGATTTTGTAAACAGCAGCAGCTGACACTTCTTCACTGTCTTTTCATGTTCTATGGAAAAATTCAATCTGTAAGAAAAGAGAACAAAAGATGTGAGCTCCTTATTTTGTTACATCCAAATAATCCACTAGGGGGCAGTGATTCTCATTAGGCTAACCAAGTTGTAGATGAGATTAATTGTACAGGTAGTTCTCGATTTATACAGTTCATTTAATAACCGTTTGAAATTACTGTGGCCTTAAAAAAGTGACTTATGACCATTTTCCACAAAACCATTGCAGCATCCCTGTGGTCACCTGATCAAGTTTGGCTATTTGGGAACTGACTCATATGTGATCATCTTTTGCAACCTTCTGACAAGCAAAGTCAATGAGAAACCAAAATCATTTAACAACAGTGTTATTACTTAACAACGGCAGTGATTCACTTAACAACTGTAGCAAAAAAGGTCATAAAATAGGGTAAACTCACTTAATAACTGTCTCACTTAGCAACAGAAATTTGGGGCTCAATTGTGGTTGTAAGTCAAGGAGTACCTTTATTCTGTTGAGGAGTGTTTCTTCTGAAATAAGTGGGATTTTTCTCAGCAGTAGAATAAATCATTTGATTTTCCCATTCCACACTTGGAAACTAGTCTGATAGTTAGCAACCCCTTTCCACTCCCTCCAACTGATGCTACTTGGTCTTTACCAAAAAGAACTTGTGTGAGAAATAAAGAGGACTAAGGACCAGGAAGATTTGGGGTGCCATTGCATCTAATTATTGTTCCCTTCAGGAACTTTAGTAATCTAGTTATAATCTGTCACATTCTTAAAATGGAACTCAAATTGTCCAGTGATTCTAGAAAGTCTAGTTAATCAAGAGTACATGCCATCTACATCCCCACAGCGGTTGCTGTATTCCTTTTCACCACAACTTACACCCATCTTTGTTTTGCAAAGGCAAATGCAAAAGACCCAGTGTAGGTGGGGTTAACTAAAAAAAGGAGATAATTTTCTTAAACCTGTATTTCAAGCTCTACTGAACATAATGTCAAGAATGTAAATTGTGATAGTATAGAAATTATGTAAATAACATCAATTGAATGAACAATTAAAGCACTGCTTTTTAATGTATAATTGGGATTTTTAAAATAGTAACACTTTTTTAGAAGTGAAGAGCAGGTTGAAGTAAAACTATCTCTAAATCAATGTAGCACGTCATGCTCCAGATTATTTTTTCACCATTCTTTTCTTGCAATAGCTGTGAAAGAAGACTACTTCAGAAAGGGAGTTCTAACCTCTCTGGGTTCACAATGAGGCTGTGGGAAGACCCATTCTGGTTTTTATCACTGTCAGAATTCTTGGAATTAATTCTGGCATAAAGAGCCCAAAAAGAAGCTGTGTAAGAGGTGGCCCAAAAGAAGTTGTAAATCATGTAAATTTATAGCTACTGTGACACACCTTTCCGATAATAAGAAAGGAGGAGGGATGCAAATAAATATAATGACATCAGTGAAGGTTCTGGAACAACTTAGCCTAACCCAACAAAAGAAAATAAAGATGCTCTATTCTTTCCTGTCTGTTTTGTTGGTCTCAGTATGATGGAGCTTTGGTATAATACTTACTTCCTTCAGCTCTGGATTTCACCACCCTTACCCAATAAGGAAGCTTTCCAGAGGAATGTATTTATTGAACCCAACGTACTTTGCATAATAGAATAGAACAGAATTCTTTATTGGCCAAGTATGATTGGACACACAAGGAATTTGAGAGGGGTTTATTTAACTTGAAAATAAATTTAACTTGAGAGGGGTGTGAAAACTAGCATCTTGGCTTCTAATTCTCTTGCAAGAGATTCTCTTGCATGGCAGCCTCATCAAATCTAGAGAAGCCTTGGATCACTGTTCTCCAATTTTTTGCCCTCTAGATGGAAATATGAAAAGGAACAAAGTATCCTCATGCCTAGGAAGATTTTCTTCAGCAATTTGCCAACTTTTCTGTAGTTTCATTCCCCACATGTTCATTCATGGCAAACTTTGCATATAGACTACATGTAAATACATGCAAACATGCACATTGAGAGATCTACACAGATAAATGCTATTCTTTACTTCAGAATATACATATTCTTAAATATTTCTGAATTTTCCCGTCTACTTACCTTTTTTCTGAATAGGTGGAACTTGTTTTCCTTTTGCTATGTCACTCTGGGCCAAGATATTTACTATCCAAGACAAGGCACTGGTACAGTACTCCATCTAATGGGAGTAAATGAAAGAAACATATTTGGGAGGTAGTGTTTTTGAAGGTTTATGGGAAACAGTTGTCATATTATGCCATATTGTGATTTCCTTGTTGCTGGCTTAGCATACTAGTGTGTCTTTTTAAAAAAATACAACATTGTTGAAAACAGTTGTGATTTCTTTAGATGTATTTAATCCATTTAGTGAAAAAATGCAATCTTAGAGGAGAAATCTGTGGTTGGTGAATTACAACATCCAACAGTTCTGGTTGGTATAGGTGCTGGAGAGGAAAAGCCAACAATATGTGGAAGGCCAAAGGTTCTCCCATCCCCGAATTTTCTCTCTTAATATGACAGGCCTTTTTTCATCTACTGCTGCTACTTTTCACCTTTGCTACTACTTGTGAAGCCTTTGTCCTATCAGTTCCCAAAGGATTCTATTTTCCTCCCATTTCCCATTTCAAAGGATCCATTGCTGTTCCCATACCTGCATCTCAAGGGTCTTCAGACGTCTCTCTGATTCTTTGATATCAGAAAGCTGCTTTAATACCTGATCGACTCTGCAGAATTAGAGGTGTGAGGCAGTTACAAAGAAAAGAAACATTCAACCTTCTTTTTCCTCTATAGGGGGCATGAGACAATCTTCTATCCTCTCTGATAGTCCCATACATTTGATTCCAAAGCTCTCATTTTCCCCACATAAGGATTCTAGAAATGTTTCAATAACCTGGAAAACCTGTTCTAATACATCTAGGCAGAAAGATTGGATTTTAGGAATTTGTAGAGAGGCTTTTTTAGAAGGAAGGGTGAACACTTTCCAAAGCATATCTCAGTATTGAGTAAAAAAATTGGTTTATGCATGCATCAGTGTTAATAGTTCATACCTAGAGCCATTGAAATGAATAGGACAAACTAGTAATAGCTAATATGAATCCTATGGCTTATAAGACTTCTTCCTAAATATGGGAATTTCCATATTATATCTGGAACACAGGCAAGGTGAAGAAAGTGTTCTTACTTAACAGAAAAATGCACCATCCAGAAAGTCTGCAAAGCGACAGCCCTCATCCCTGAACACACATAAACAAAAAATACTTGTAACAACTCTGTGATGGTTCTGAATAGAGCCTAAGGCACCTCCAAGAAATGCTGGACTGCATTTTACCATGCTGTTGTTAATTTTAGGAACGGTTAATCAATAAACAGGAAAGATTCTGCAGATGCGGCATGCATATAAACTTTTTGTTCTCATTTTCTAAGCAATATCTCTGAAAGAAGCTACCCAAAATATCTAAAAGAAATCAGGTTTAGGAAATTTGTCTATAATATGCTTTTCTTCTGTGCCAATTAAAGATGGGTATGAAATTTGATCTCAAATTTCAGTGTAAACTGATTTGATCTGCACACTCTGATCAAACATGGTGGGAATGTAAATGCACTTATATTTTGGATTTTGCATTTCTTTGCATTCAATGAAATATTCATGATTCAATACATTTTAAAATGCACATTTTGAAATTAAATGATTAAATTGCATTTTAAAGAAAATATTAAAATACATATTTTAATGCAATTTTCACAAACTTTAAAAATTTTTCAGTATAAAAAAACCATAATTAACAGAAAACTGATTCAAATTGGATTTAAACTGATCAGTCCTTCCATAATCTCAACTTCCTCCTTTCTCTTTATTGTCTTCTATTCCCCATTCTTACTTTTGGGAAGTTCTCCGGAGTCGCTCAGTGTCACTGTCACGTTTCTGTCGAGCCTGTGTTACTAAGTAATTTTCTTTCTGTACCGATTCCCACGTCAGTAATCGCCTATTTTGGATCTCAGAGAGTTCTAGCACTGTCCAAAATAGATTAATTATTGGTTCACAAAATGATAATGGTTCCTCACCAATTGATGTGAAATACAAGTCCCTGCCATAATATATCAATGGATCAATTAGTTATAAATCGGAAATGGTTCCATATCTTTCTCATCTCAGTAAACCTTATTAATGATTCTCACAGAGTGAGAATCTTGCTTGAAAGAAGTGGAAAACTTGAGAGGCAGCCAAAAGTCTGACAACACATTAGATGTAGAACAAAGGAGATAATGATTGATAATGACATAGACTTAGAATTAATTTTTTTTGATATTCACAAAGAGCTGGTATAGAACAGTGATTTCAGCATTATGCTTGGACTGTGGAGGCCCAGCTCCCTCAATTAGAGAATTTACTACATAGTGAGGAACTAGTTACTTGCTCCTCATCTGTAAATCTATTTTGTGGAGGTGAACATAGGAAAATCTCATTTATGCCATCTTGAGCTTTCAGTTGAATGGCAAAATATAAAGACAACAAACGAACGAATGAATGAATGATCTTGAACAACCTTCCCATATTTGATGTTCTCTAGGTTGGTTAACACCAAGAGTTCCGGAATTCCACGGCAGGTTATCTCTTAAATATCCCAAAATTGACTATAGCACTCACAGAAGTCACGTCTCTTTGCTGACTGCACTTTGCTGATATGACGCTTGAACAAAAGATGTAGGTGGCTGATCAGGATGAAGGGTGGAGCCAATGCAGGCCGGCTATGATACTCCAAGATAAGGCTGTATCGCTGTGATTTCCAGTAGATATCACTGTTGCCTTGCACTTTGGAGAACGTGTAACTATTAGCAGGGGAAACAATATGTTAGTCCCACCTTTCTCCAAATTGGAGGAGTCAACTTCAAACTGAATGCCTCATCCCTGTGACACAATCATAGATAGCATATGGATGGAAAAGAAACATGAGCTAACATAGGCTGTATTTCTACATTTCCTTTTCTACATGAAAATCTCAACAAAAGAGTTGGGGACCATACTGTTTAATCAGAACAATTAAGGGTGGGCTAAAGAAAATGTAGAGGTGTAGCTAGGCGTGAAATCTACTTACCTTCCCTACCGGTTCGGAAGTGCATGCACCGTGTGTGTGTCATCTGTGCGGGCGGACCCTCTGCACATGCGCAAACCCTTCTATGCATGCACAGAGGGTAAAAAACAGGTTACTTCCTGGTTAAAACCAGAAAGTAACAATGACCAGGCAGGTGGGCGGAGCCTCGCACTGCGGTCACTACCGGTTCTCGGAACCACCTGCCGCCATCGCTACCATTTCAGCTGAACCTGTCCAAACCAGTAGCATTTCACCCTGGGTGCAGCCCTCCTATTCCATCATCCATGGGCATTATATTTGCTTAGCAGCAGTGGTGGGTTGCTCCCGGTTCGCACTGCTTCACAAGAACCGGTAGTAAAAATTTGTAGTAGTTCAGAGAACCAGTAATAACATTGGCTGGCCACACCCCCGAACCGGTCCCTGGCCCGGTCGCCGCTTGCTTACCCCACCCACTCATCAGAGGCCTTTTTTTTTTTTTACTTTTAAAAGCATTTTTTCTACAACCTCTTCAGCCGAAAAAATGCTTTTAAAAGTTTTTTAAAAAAGCTTCTGATAATCGCGTGGCTCAGCTGAGATAGTCAGAGGCTTTTAAAAGCATTTTTTTCTGCAACCTCTTTGGCCGAAGAGGTTGTAGGAAAAAAAAATGCATTTAAAAGCCTCTGGCGATCCCAGCTGAGTTGCCTGATCATCAGAGGCTTCTAAAAGCATTTTTTCCTGCAACCTCTTCGGCCAAAGAGATTGTAGGAAAAAAAATGCCTTTAAAAGCCTCTGGTGAGCCCAGCTGAGTTGCCTGATTGTCAGAGGCTTCTAAAAGCATTTTTTTCTGCAACCTCTTAAGGTTGTAGAAAAAATGCTTTTAAAAGTTAAAAAAAAAGGCTGGCCACGCCCACCCAGTCACATTATCCCCACCACCACGCCACACCCACAAAATAAGCCACGCCTACAGAACCGGTAGTAAAAATTTTTAGAACCCACCCCTGCTTAGCAGCAAATATTTTTCAACTTTCCCCTGAATTTGAACCATGGAAAAAGTTGTAAAAATATTGTGAATGTATTTTCACAGATTTATGACACTGCCACATGTGAAATATGATCATATAATTAATTCAACTGATCTTATTCTTCAAATATTTTTTTTAAAATATTTTGTTGAAAACTGAACTTGAAATGGCTAAAATAGATACCATCTAAATTACTTTTGAAAAGTATATTGTCCTATTGAACTAGGTTTGGACCATAAATCTTATTCCAATTTTTTTTTTATTATTATTATTTTTACTATGGAGCTTTGTGTAAATTTTGTATTTATTTACTTATTTATTTTATCCTGCCTTGGTAGAATTGAGGTAGTGGTACCTGAACATTGCAATCAGCAAGTTGAGGAGCAGAATATTGGCTACCAACAGGAAGATCACTAGGAGAATGAGCACCAGCCAGTTAGCATAGGTATTGGTACAAGGGTTCGCGTCCTCCATCAAGATGGCTATAGGGTCATAGGTGCAATTCGAGGCTGTAAACTGGGAAGCTAGGGAAGAATATCAAAGGGAAAAAATGAGATGAAAGTCATAGATTGAAGAAGGTTTTACTACTACCTTCGAGGACTAAGTAGTAGCAAAGAGTGCACAGAATTCTTGGATAAGATTGTTTTAGCCCTAGATAGTTTAGAGTTTAATTATCTTTCTCCAGATTTGGTTTCCTTCAGTTCTTTGGGTTTACAGATTATTGTATTGGGTTTACAGTTCTCATCAGTCCTGGACCGTGGCTATATTGGTTGGGACTGAGGGGAATTGTGGCCCAAAAGTTTTGGTTTGAAGAGGCTGTCCTGGAATAAAAGGTAAAACCCTAAAAATTATCTACTGGATCAGATTACTTTGATGAATGCAGAATCCCATTCGTATCAGTGGCCATCCAAATATTTTACACAAGTTATAGGTTTCTCAAACAGACCTCTTCATAAAGGTGACACCATCTCTCCTTATTTCCCAACTAGCATTTGATATTCTGAAATATACTACTAAGCTTGTATAAAAATATGAAGGCCTAGAGCAGGGATGTCAAACTCATGTCATCACAGCAGCGTCACGTGATGTATCACGACTTTTTCCCCAGGTGTGGGCGTCGCCAGCGAGTTTGACAGCACTGGTTTAGAGGGAAGGGGAAAAAAAAAATTAAAAATATTTCCAATCATTTCCTTTTTGTCTCCACAGGTTTGTACAGCTTTAAGCTTTCAGAGACTACTAAATTGTCATGGCTAATAGCTCTTGTCCAATCTCATTCTAAGGTGATTAAATAATTGGCCAATGTTTCATAGTTAATGAATCCCTTATGTTCATAATGCATGATACGAAAAACTGTTTCTTTATGCCCCTTCAAAAGCCTACTCTTAATTTTACTGTTTCCATCTTATTTTTTTAAATTAACACTTTCAATATTATAATTGTCTTGCTTTTTATATTTTCCATTCTAGACTATCTCTGTCATATATTTGGGGAGTAGCTTAATTATGGTAGGTAACCAGACATTCCATGCAGGAGCAGACTTTCAGAAGAGAGATGGAAAGCTCTATCTTTTTTCTGCATTCAGCACAAAAATCAAATCAAATGAGTCTTTGTAAATAAATAAGAAATAAAGGAGTTGTTTAACAATCCTCAGAAGGCAATTGCCTATTTGGTGCTCTAAGCCATAAATCTGCACTACTCTTCATTGGGTTTCAGCAGGCCAAACTAGATGAGAATAAGAAAAGTCAGCAAGCAGCCCCCAAATACACACCATCAATTTCACTGAGTGGGATCTGTCCAAAAATTTGCAAGTAAGGTCGGTAGAAAACACGTCGAAATATCCAAGGGATTCTTCGATCATGGGGGAGAAGGAGACCCTCAGTTGTGACCCCATAGGCTACCAGCCATACCCCAAGGAAGAAGAGAAAGAGAAATACATCCTTCATCTAGGAAGAGAAGAAGGAGATGAGATTATGCTACCCATCTCACCTAGAGACAATTCTAGGTTACTTGCAATCAAATAAAAGCAACAAGATAAAACATTTTAAAAAGGCATGTCCAACTTGCAGCCCCACAAGATCATAGACTTTTAACATTATTATGTGATTTTTTTTAGTCATATTTACTATATTGTTGTTGTTGTTGTTGTTAAATGCATTTGCTGCCAATCTTACCATGGGCTATTCTAGGCAGATCACAACCATAAAAAACAAAGAAATAAAAAGGAAATTTAAACAATGGAAAAATAAAATAATAGAAGAATAAAAAATAATATATATATATATATATATTGTATGCAGCCCATATAGCTTTTGCATCTCTATTTCATTTGTGCTTGGCTTAAATTTCGTTGGACAGTGTCCGTGCCTATTCAACAATCCTCGTTCTGTGTATTATTCCATGTGCATCAAAAATGCATCTTCTCACCATCTTGCCAACGATAATCATCTTGGGCCCCAACTGTTTGTTTACTGCAAAGATATGGATGAGACGAAGGGTGAAGATCATGAAATCCAGGCACAGAATGGTGCGTCCTGATTCATATGACGAAGGAAACAGCCTGTGATGTAGATAAGTGGTATAAAGAAAAAAAGAAACCGATTCTAAACTGTATAACCATTCCTTTTTATCTCCAGTGTTATTAATCCCTGACCTCACCAGCTCATTCAAAAGCTTCAGAGTAAATGAATGGAAATCTCTACAATACAGAAGAGCACTTACCTGCATACTAGCCCTACCATGAAGAGTAGCAGGGCCGTGATATCAAACTGGTTCCATGTGTCCAGGATATACCTTCGTACTCTCTGCAACAAAGGACGGGAACCCACAAAACATCCTTGACGCACCTCTTCACAGACTAGTGTGAAGATCCAGATGTATAGAGCTATCTCAGTGCCAGATGGACCTTTGGGAGGTGGAGGGTCAAAATCCAGCAGCAGAACGTAGGAGAAGAGGAAGAGGAAGAGCAAGTACATCACCACATTGCCCAGGAATGCTGTCACTGGTGCCACCCAGAATTGATGCCACTGTTGTAACCAGAGTTGTCGAGCAGAAAGAGGGGAGGGAGGTTTCAAACTTCTGAATCAAGATATGAAAAGGAAAAGAAGAAAGAAATGTTTGAGTTCCACCAATAAATTGACTCTATTGCTTCCAGTAATTAATTCATTAAATAAAATATATAGGCATATGAATAAATGTTTGTGAGCAACTTCAAAATGTCTCTTCTGAAAAGGGGCAATTTAAATAAATAAGAAGTGTGCTTTAAAAAAAAAAGCTTTAAGCTTCCACCAATTCCTAGGCAGTGGGGAATGCTAGAAGTTGTAGTTCACCTACATTTCAAGGACCACAGTTTCCACTCCATGATTTTATATTACTTTTTGATAAAAGCTGGATATTCACAGGGAAAAAACCCTAGAATATTCTGAAGAGATCCAGGCCACCCAACAGCCCCCACTGCATCAACAGCCTCATTTATGATAGCCCATACTTCCACCCTCCCACAGGCCCACGTTCCCAAGATCATGACCATTCCCCCTACTCAGACAACATGTCTCCGATGGTACTTTTCACATCTGTATCAAGACTGTCCAGTTCAAACTGTTCCAAGGAATCCAGCCGCAGATCATCATCCATGTTCCTATTAAAGATCACATTACAGATCAGAATGACCACCTGACCACATTTTAAATGCAGGTGCTAAAATTTAGCCATAAAATTTACTGCTAGAAATTCTAGGGACAAAGATTTAAGATTTGAATGTATTTGTTCCACTTGTTCTGGCAGGTGGACTGCAGGATTTGAAAGGACTGCTCAAAAGAGAATGGTTGCCCTGGAGCTAAGGAAAATATACTTATTCATGCTCTTGTTATATAAAGAAACACTCAGTACTTTTGATATTCAGGAATTGTAGTTACTAAATAACTACAGTAACTACACTGTAGGCTGCCAGCAATGCACAGCTCCTCCCTCTCTGCACTATTAAATGTAAATCAAACCATGCCCAGTAGACCCACCTGAATGTAATGAGTTTAGTAAAGATGAGAGGGGGGCAAAAAAATGTGAGAAGTAGCTTCCAGACAGAGGTACTTCGGTCCATTTCTCCCCACCAGTTTTGGGTAAGCAGGGACTATAGAAAAACACAAGAGAAAGGCAGCACTGAAAAATACAGAGACGAGCCACAATGTCAGTACTGTATGTAATTGAATAATTAGCTTATGAAGGTGCTTATTAATATTTGTACTAGTTGGTTTCTCCCCTAGTCAAGGCTTGTCAATTGAGCTAAAGGCAGGGATATGATCAATAAAACTGACAAAGAGGTGTTTTGTATGCCTATTGTTATAATTTTGAGTAAGGGCCTTCAAACTAGTGCAATGTCCTTTTGGAAATCCTACCTGGTCTGAAGAAAAAGTTTTATTTCTCCTTCCCAATCTTCTGGTTTTAGAAAATGCCTAACACAGAGCTTAGAAGAAATGTCTAGCAGATTAATTGGGTGGTAATTAGGAGATTCCTGTTAGCTGCCCTTTTAAAAGATTGAGTATGTTATGCTTTGTTTCCAGTTCAACAAATGTTTTATCCAGTGGTGAAATCCCAATTTTTTTTATTACCGGTTCTATGGGCGTGGCTTGGTGGGCGTGGTGTGGTTTGGTGGGTGTGGCAGGGGAAAGATACTACAAAATCCCCATTCCCTCCCCACTCCTGGGGGAAGGATATTGCAAAATCTCCATTCCCACCCCATTCTGGGGCCAGCCAGAGGTGGTATTTGCCAGTTCTCCGAACTACTCAAAATTTCCGCTACTGGTTCTCCAAAACCTGTCAGAATCTGCTGGATTTCACCACTGGTTTTATCTATTTCTGAAAAGAGTCTACTCTTTTCCTGGGGATCCACCAGGAATTATAATCAGTTGCTGAGACTCAGATTTTGAGACACCTGGCCATCTGGAAATACGCTTAATCCAGTAGAGACTGTTGCTAGCTCAGTATGTGGGCAGCTATAAATGGAGGAAAAATATTGGTCCAATTTTGGATTGAGATATCTATATGAACATGGTATTGTATGTGGAAATACCACTAGCCACAATTTCCAAAATTTCCTCTCATTTTTAAGCTAAGGCCAAGTTCCCTCTATTGATCTCTATAGTATGGTTTTATAATTTTACTATTTATTGCTTTATTGCTATGTTATTCTATTTTATGCCATTCCTATGTTATATGACTTCTGGTTTTATTGATTTTATTTGCTTACATTCTACTATCCTCTCCCCAACATTATTAGCATTACATGTAGTGCTTAACAATACTTGTGTCCTGCAGTTTATAAATCTAAGCATCCACAACCTAAGGACACCCAACTCATAATCATCAATGGGAAGTAGGTTCAGCCCAGTGGTGGGATTTTTCTGGTTCGCACCAGTTCGGTAGAACCAGTTGTTAAGTAGTTAATACTTAAGCAGTTCGGAGAACGGATTGTTAAAAGAAATCTCCTTTTGCTTTTTTCCACTTTACAGGATTAGTCCTGTAAGGAATTACAACATTCGGTGTTGTTTCCTAGCCTAATCTTTATTGCCCTGCTTACAGAAACTGCCTCTCCATTAACCTTTATTACATTCTTGGCAGTACACCTAGACTTACTGTCACTTCCTGTTCCGGAGGTTCTTGGAGTTTTGTTTTTGTTTTTGTTTTTTGCTTGACTTCCTTAAAGGGGAAGGGTTGTTTTAAGCTTTTTACACCCCTGTTGGGAGGAAATACTCCCCTGTTGGAGTTCTTCCAGCCAGGGTGCAATGATCAGCACTTTGAAGAAATAATTGAATAATGAAGCAGAAGCTTTTAATGGCAAGGAACCAAGATGAGTGACATTCAGTAAGGCTTATTGGCTAGCTAGAAAGATTGACATTCAAACATGAGTTTACATACCCTTTCTGACTTTTGGTCTAAAACTGGTTTTTGGTGAAGTTGAATTCTGTGCTTGGTGATGTTTAATCCTGTGTTTAGCGATGAGATAATTTTCCCTATTCAGCTTTGTTTGGAAGGAAAAATGTTAATCTCTGTTCCTGAAAAGAAGCAGCTTCGGAAATCTGAATCTAGTTCTGTGTCTGTTTGTTCTAGCCATTGGTTTAACAAGCAACAGATACTCTGTTTTCTCCTTTGTTTCATTCTGGAAAGCTTAAATGACCTCTCTGCTAAAGGGTTTCACTTTATGAGCAAGAGTTGGCTGCTGATAGTTATCATTGCATTTTAACTATTTTAATTCCTCAAGGTGCTCTGTAACTCCAGTTTGTAGGTATTTCTAATCTAATGATTGGAATTTAGGGCAGCTTTTTGCAAGCAAAGAAGTTTTTTGTATTTTTGTACAGGTAATCTTTGATTTACAACAGTTACAATGGCACTAGAAAAAGTGATTTATGACCATTTTTCACACTTATGACCATTGCAGCAAACTGTCATTAGGGCAAAGAAGTGATGCCACATGATCATCTGGCCACGGCCACCCAGTCGTATGAAGCACCTCAATTGTGAAATGAGTGATACAGTTATTAAGAATGCTGCAACGGGCATAAATGATGACCAGTCATAAGTGCAAGGGCCGGTCAAAAGTGCGAGGACCTGTCAGAAATCACTTTTTTCAGCCCTCTGGGTAGTCCCTATGTGCATATGGACTACTCAGAGGGCTGAAAAAGTTATTTTTGACTGGTCCTCGCACTTTTGACCAGTCTTTGCACTTATGACTGTCCTCACATTTTATGTTTTTCGCCCTATTTTGTCCCCATGGTGAAGAGAAGCAGTTAGGAAATGAGTGACATGGTTGTTAAGAATGCTGCAATGGGCATAAATGTGAGGATAGTCATAAGTGTGAGGACCAGTCAAAAGTGCGAGGACCGATCAGAAATGACTTTTTTCAGCTCTCTGAGTAGTCCCTATATCCGGACACATGACCACCAAGCCACGCCCACCCAGTCACATGACCACCAAGCCACGCCCACCCAAATAAGCCACACCCACAGAACCGGTTGTTAAAAAAATTGAATCCCACCACTGGTTCAGCCTAAGGCTGGAGCTTCCTTAAACAGCTGGTAGAATGAATCCAGGATTCAGAGTATTGTAGAACTGGAAAAACCTCAACGGTGATTTAGTTTATTGCTACAACATAGTCAAATATTATAGCATACATAATAATTACCCATCCAATTTTGATTTTAAAACCTCTGATGAAAAAAAACAACCCTCCATTGCCTTGTTCCACGTGTCACCAGATTATTTTAATGTTCAACTGTTATATCCTTTCCATATTGTGAAATTGCTGGATTTTAGTTTTGTTCATATCTTGCCTGAATGGCCATCATCCTGTCCGTGATATTCCTTCAAATATTTGAGGAGAGCAATCCTGCCAGGCTTCAAACATCTATCTGTATTCTAGCCTAATTTTGTTGAAATCTATTTCTCAGGCATTGATCTTACTCTCTTTGCTGCCTTCATCTGGACAATTCAAGCCTCGAATACATATAGGTAATTCTCCCTTAATGACTGCCCTGTTTAGTGACCTTTTTTGTTGCGAAAAACAACAAATTTTGTGACCAGTGTTTACCTTTACAAAAACTTTTCAGCACCCTCTTTGTCCCTGCAGTGACATGATGAGGATTTGGGCACTTTGCAATCAGCACGTGTTTATGACCATCACATTGTCCCATGGTTACGTTATTGTCATTTGTATACTTCACAAATGGTTTCCAACAAGTAGAGTTAAAAGAGGACAGTAAAATTGCCAGTCAGTTAAACAACCCATTTTGACTCATAATGACCATGGTAGAACTGAAGTTCTACTAAGTTTGTTATAGTCACATGATATCTCATTAACAACCTTGTCACTTAGCAATGAAATTGCCAGTCTCAGTCATGGTTGTTATGTAAGGAATACTATAGCTCCTACTCTCCTGTAATGGCTAGCCTAAAGTTTTAAGTTGTATAATATTTTGGTTGGTTTTCTAAAGTGATTACTTCCCTGGGCTTATATAAATGTTATTCCATGAAAGCTTGATCCCAGGCGGATAAATTCTAATGAACACAATCATACTATTGTGTTATTTGGGATAGGAACCTATGCCTTTTGCACCCTTAATTATTCACCAATTTCTGGAGGCCATACTTCCCTTCTGAACACACTCTTTAAGAGTGATCTGCATATCCAGATCAAATACAAGATGGAATCCAGTGACAATATTCATCCTTAAACACCAAGCACGTTTGGAACCTAGCTCAGTGAATCTCTGTATGGCCATACCTGCACACCATCCTGTGCAAAAAAGAGACGGGCATCAGCTTGGTGAGCCAGCTGGAGGATAGTGGCTCCACCCCAGAGGTGGGAACAGCGAACCAGTAGTTTGTAGGCCCGTGGCTCACTATTACGGTAACATTCACTGAATACTCCTAGAATTGTGGAGTTAAGAGGGAGGAGAGAGATATTTGAGTATAAAAAGTCAAGGAATTACAAACATTTGCACAATTCACAACTCTCCTTAATTTAATGAATCGTTAATAATACAGCAAGATTAATATTAATACAACACTCACAGACTTCCAAACAACCAAACCATCACTTTGCTAAGACTTTGCAATTTATGTCCACATTAATTGGTAATAGTTCTGAGCTATCTTTGGATCTTTCCCATATTCATACTGATATTTATATTGGTAAAATCTATCCTTTTGCTAATTTAGAGCTCATAGAGAAGATCAAAATCAGAAGTTTTCCCCTTGCTCCTAAATAGGTCAGATTTAGTAAGTCCTTTGTACTTACTAAAATGTTCTGCATGCTAACAAGAACTGTTTGAGTCTTCAGTTCCACAAAAATGATATAAAATCATTGTTACACAATACTCCAATACACACATTCCTATATATTTGTCTATCTTTGCTTGCAACCATCTAAGAAACTTAGAAATGAAGGCAATGAAAAATTAATTATAAAAATAAATATTGCAACCCCATGAATATGGCAGCTCCATGATAATATAGGAATTATCTTAAACTCAAAAATTATTGTCAAGTAGACAATTTGACACCAAAGTTTCGTTCAAAAACTTCTACGAGTAACTTTTCATTAAAGTTTTCCCAAGTAACTGCAAATATGACATCAAACCTTCACATACAAGTTATTTCATGTGGTGAAAGTAAGGAAATGAATCAGTTGTAAAAATGCTATACTTTACCTCTTTTCTGAAAAAATGAATCGCTAAAGCTAAGTCAGGAAGTGGGAGGTTATGGTAAGAAATTGCTCCTATGGAAAACATGCATTTGTTAGGGTGCCTATAAACTAGAAAAGGGTTTTCTTTTAAAACAGTAAACATGATAGGGGGCTAAGAAACACTGGATTGGAGATGGAACAGCTTGGACATCATTCTACCCATCAGAAAATAGGGCCTTCTATTGGTGGACTAAAAAAGAAACCTGAAGTGTAAAAAATACTTTTCTCTGTTCTCACCAATTCCAAAATTTGTCCATTTACATCCATTTTACAAATGAATGGAGACTGTCAGTATAAAATTTAATCATCCGAAACTAGCCAGTAAATCTATATTTGAATAATAAGGGATTTAAAAATCTATTTCAACTAAATGCCAAACTGTACAATTCCCAGGAAAACCTGGGAATCTATCACAGGGTTTCTCCACAAAGTCTTTCATTTCATGAGCATTACAGCCTACTTTTTTTCCTTCTCTGTTCCTAAACTCTTTCCTCTTCCTATATTCCCCTGTATGAAGAAGTGCATGTTACCAATAATCTCTTCCACTAACATACCGTGTTTCCCCGAAAACAAGACCCTGTCTTATATTTTTCTGAACTTCAAAATAAGCGCTTGGCTTTATTTTCGGGGAGGTCTTATTATTTTGGGGTGCATGGAGCAACATAGGGCTCCTCTTGCCATTTTACCTGATTTGCAGCTCTGCATTTAAATGTTTTCGGGGAAGGCTTATTTTTGGGGGGAGGCTTATTTTAATGCATGCACTCAAAAGCCCAATTGAGCTTATTATCAGGGGATGTCTTATTTTCGGGAAAACAGGGTAGATTCCATCCTATTATGCCCTTTGGATGGCTTGGAAGTCAATTCTCATAGTATCTATTCCTGTTGTCGTGATGGGACAATAGGTCAGTATATCTAGACTGGTTCGTCTAGAGCAGCGTTTGTCAACCTCAGAAATTTTAAGGTATGTGGAATTCAACTCAATTTTTGAAGTTGAAGTCCAAACATCCTAAAGTTACTAAGCTTCAGTTATGTCAAAAATCAGACCCTTTCTCTTAAGCAGTCATTTCTCCCATCACCCCTTTTTTCATCTCTCACCTATGGCCAGGTTTTCAAAGTGCATTGCTAGATCCTTCATGGCTGCCACTTCCTCTGTCTCTGTCTCGTGATGTGAAAGTTCCCGCAGTATTTTTGCTGCTGCCAATGCCCCAGCCACTGCATCAGGTGCCTGGGGTTGAAAGAAAAAGAAAATTCCTGGAGAAGTTGCAAGATTTGCATGGATTGCATTGTAACTCATCAATGTGATATCTTCTTTGACCCAAAACAAATGGCACATGTTCCAACATTTTCCAACATAATCTTCTTGCCGAATATTTATTTTTCTAACTATGTTTACAGGAAGTGTTTTGGGCAATTGTGACATCCCTGTACTGTGAAACACTGTTTCAAAGCTGTGGTATATGTAAAATATTTTTTAGAAGAAATGCACAGTAGCTAGGAACAAAGAAACAAAGAAAAACAAGCAAAAAATATAATCAACACCGTGAAGCTGACCAAGATTTCAGAAATTGAGTAATATTAGGTTTCATCTAATTGTGACTGAAGAATGGTCAAAGTACCAAAGAAACAGTTGGAGGGACTTGCCCCCAGTCTTTTCTTCCTTCAGGAACTTTTATGTCTGTAAAATAAACTGCAATAAATGCTGAGGAAAAAAAATGATTATTCGAGTTTGCCTATAATTGCAGACAGGAAAGTTGGTAAAAATAATGGGGCAAATAATACCAGCAACAGAACTCTGCCACTGCAATGTTATTAGTCACCAAAACACATTGTTCTTTTAGCATTTTCTATTCCTTTGACAATTACAAGGTGTTTTCATTTTATTTGCACTTGCTTACTGAGCAGCAATTTCAGTTTGGAAAATTATCACTACTGCAAAACCTCATACATCCTTCTGTGCAATGTTTCTGTTAAGAAGCATGGACAATATTGGCATAGAAAATAATTCCTTGACTTTCATTCTAAGCATATTCTTCTGCTTTCTCCCCTATTCCATCCACTCTGCTCCCAAGACGGCAAATAGATGAGACCCACAGAGTCATAGTTAAAGCAGACACATTTTTAAAGGTAAGAGCAGCCAAATTAATTCACTAGCAAATAGGCTTTTTCTCTTTTCTTCTGTACCATTCCTAGATTTGACTTACTCCCCCACCCTCTGATTACTATTTGATGATGGAGCTGCAGAAACTCTTTTTAAAAAGGGAGAGAGAGACAGAAAGAGACAGAGGGAGGGAGATAATTAGGAAAGTTTTCCTGAATTGGTTTCTCTCATCTACACATCACTGCCAGGCTAATTTGGATCTCGCAATGTGTTTCTATGTCTCCACAATGCTAAAGTCTTGGATGAGTCTTGAGAAGGGAAGAAATTTTGCAACAATTCTTCTGGAGCTGTAGGGTAGGGAGTTTCCCACTGTTGGAAATATCTACTTGTTTTGTGGTTTCTGGATTCAACTCTCTCCCATCACTACCCATTATCATCCATTGTCAGTCATTTCATCCCCATCCATTGTTATTCCATCAGCACTATGACAATTGTGGGTGGGCTTGTTTCAGTATGAGATGAATGACTGCCATCCCTATTTCCTTCTAGCCACAGCATCCACATGCCTCATTAAATAATTTGGGACATTTAAAATGGATGTCCCAATGACATTGATTTTTTCTCATCCCTAGCCCACAACAGAAGCAGCTTAAACTTGTCTTGAAGTTAATCCACTTTTATTGTAGCACTTTCCCTCTTCTCCTGTGATATGGCTTTTGCCATGGGTGTTATCTAGAATGCTTCATCAACAATGTAGCTGATGATGTGGCCAAGGGTTAGGATCTCCTCTGCTCCTATTGACTCCTAGAGTGACCTCCTCGTCTAGCCATTGGGTGCTATTCTCCAGGATGATTTTTTTTTTTTTTTTTTTTTGGCTACTGGAGAAACCAGACACCTAGCTTTCATGGTAGATTCTGTCCCTAATGCTTGCCTGATGCCTTTCAAAATGCTTGTGAAGTCTTTATATATGCATATATAAATGTATAGGCTCTTTATATACATGGCTTTAGTGTCTATGGAGATTCTCAATCATCCACATCATGGTTGTCCCCAAGATGCTTTTCCAAAAGGCAACTGGACTTTCTTGATTTTCCTTGAAAATGTTTCACTTCTCCTTTAAGAAGCTTCAGAACTGAAAACGCCCAGTTGCCTTTTAGAAAAACGCTTTTGAGATATGAGTTTTGTGTTTTTTGAAAGAGCATTAGACCTGTGTCCAGTAGTCCTGCACTGCACAGGAAAGTCAACTTAAATGGAAGTAGGAGCTGGGTTCTGCTAGCTACACGCTGTTGCCACCAGTAAGCGTGTTCAATGAATTTTTATTACAGTACAAACCAGCAAACCAGTAAGTGTGTAAACAGATTTTCTTCTGCTTCTGCTGACAAAGGATTTCATGCAGTCATAGTATTCACAATTTTTATTACTTTAGGAAAGGATAGTCCTGTTATTTTACCTACTCTATGGCTGCTTTTGGTGTTATCATTTGCTGTTGCAATGCATTGCCATTTCTTTACAACACTAATTAAGGAAAGAAATTAGAACATGTTTGATACTGATTGACCCTTTTGCTTTACCCATACCAAGTTCACAAATCACGGGTGCAGAACACACTTATCATCAGGAAAACAACTTTATGATCAGGAAAAGATGATAAGAGCTTCTTGTTGCTTCATCTCTTGTTCTTTCTCCATATATGCAACCTGCCAGACAGCCTTATATCTAAAGTTTAACACTCTTTTAAAAGAGTACTAAACTCATGTTCAGAAATAGGCTGATTGACAGGTCACGCACGGGCATGGAGGGCCCATAGTGTCTGTTAATCAGGCAAGTTGACAGTTGATCAAGTACAAGGATTCCTGCTTAGATTCCTAATCTTACTGCACCTTCTATTAAAGAAAGCCCACCAATTATTTCGCTTAACTTCTTTTGAATTTAAATTGGAGGGAAAGCACTGATGTGATTACTTAAGACAAGTAATCACATTCTTGATGGCTGAGCTAGCCATCAAGTTTCAATCAGGTTCTTTGATGGCAGAAGAATTCACAGCAGTTATATCATCCTTTCTATGCATTTGCGACATAATGTTTCTACGATATTCTATAAGAGATATTGCTAAATATTATTGCTAGATTCATATCAAAATACAGACCATTTCCCAGAAGTAAATTGCCATCTCTTTTCGATTCATCAACACTGCCCAGATAAATAGATCGGTCCATGGGTTTGGTGACCGCTCATTTTGGTATGTGGAATCTCCAATTCGTAATAATCCTTTTTTCTAGGCAGAGAAGGCATCTTGATCAACATGAGAAGGAAAACGTTCACAGACACACATTCTTGTCTTGGGTTGGTTTCATATATTAATCAAAATTCATTATCAAAATTGAAACAAAAACTTAACTCAAACTTTACCCTTAGCAACATCAGAAATCCACAGAGATTTTTTTTTTTTTTTTGGTAAATTTAATATGTTCCAAATCTCTCAGGCACTAAATCTGATTTTGAAAACATTGCCTGTTTCTTTTCAAAACATTTCATCACAATGAAACTGGAAACTACTTTTAAAACTCACAAAATCTGATATTAAGAATTTGTTTCAGCCACAACAAGCATTGTGAATTATACAGCCTTGAATTTCTACTATTACTAAAGATAAGATTATAAAATAGATCTGTTTTTCGATTTTTAAAATCAATAATTATTTTAGTAAATACTTGGAATAATAATGCAGCATCATAAGTGATTTTTGAAACAATGTGTGTCATTTAAGTTCAAAGTGTTAAATGCCTCTCCAATGCAGCCAGGGTAAGCCAACCCTTTTAGGAGCATTTTCATCCTTTTACTGATAGGAAGAAGGTTGTAGGAAGGAAATGGAAACTGGAAAGATTTCTTGAAATTTGACTCTTGGGTAACCACAAAGGTTCCTTTCCCATTTTTTGAAATTATTTTACCCGTGTTTCCCTGAAAATAAGACCTGTCTTATATTTTTTGAACACTGAAATAAGTGCTTGGCCTTATTTTCGGGGAGGTCTTATTATTTTGGGGTACATGGAGCAAGAAGGGGCTCCTCTTGCCATCTTACCTGATTTCCAGCTCTGTCTCCCTAACCCTAATCAGGGGAAATGGCAGGGACCAGCTGCGCATGCGGTTAAATATTTTCAGGGAGGGCTTATTTTCCGGGGGGGCTTATTTCAGCACATGCACTCAAAAGCCCGATTGGGCTTATTATCAGGGGATGTCTTATTTTGGGGGAAACAGGGTATTTAAAATGCTGCCCTCTTCTAAAGAAAAATAGGCTCAAAGCAGCAACCATAAGACAACCATATTTATTTAGTTTATCTCCTATTTTCCCTCAGAGAGTCAAGCTGAGAAATGAGCAGAGTATAAACTCCGTACGTATTATCCCCACAACAACAAACCTGTGAGATATGCTGGACTGAGAGAGACAACTAGTGAATTGCGTGGTCTGTTTTCAGTCCAATATCTTAACAACTAGAGTGCCTTGGTGTTCATGCTTCCCAGTTCTCAAAGCATCCTCTTTGTCTTCATGTACTCCATCCCTAATCGAATGTACATAGAATATTACCACTTACCCCTATCCCTCTGTGGCCAGTAGGGTATAGTCCTGCATAAAAAGGAGCACAGACATCCCCTAGTAGCTCGTGCAGAATAAGAGTCACATGAGATAAATGGCAATCGGGCAAAGACCGTTCCAGCAGGAAGTCTTCAGGAGGGGTGGGTGGCTCAGAGCCTGTCTTTTGGTATCCCTCCAAAAGCTTGTGCAGCAGCGAGGCCTTGGGGGACCCAGCATACAACTGTTCCAGCTTTCCCCATTTCAGGAACTGTCCTACATCCAAGCCATTCTCCACAAAGAGGCGCACTAAGTCAGTTCGATTACCTAGCAATGCATCATGCATTGGGTTCTCCAGCAGGTTGGGCTGCAAGAAATGATAGAAGAATAATAATAATAAAATATTTATGTCTCAAGAGAGTAGATGTTTGCAACTACTTAGAGATCAAAGTGGGTACTCCATTAGCTAAAGTGTGATAACAACAACTTGCAGGGATATGAGTAGAACAAGTTATTCTTCCATGAATCCATGACTGCTCTCTTCTGTCGGAGAGCAGTCTTTTCACACAGCACTTAATAGGCTGTTCCTTCAGCTGTGCTGGAGGACATTATTCCGTTACCAGGACTGAGATAAGTTCAGCCAGTTTTGTTTCTGGGTACCATTCCATCCTTCACCTTAGCCAGCAACATTTGTTGATGCAACCCTGATGATCCTTGGCAATTGGTCATTCTTGAAGTCAGTAAGACTTTTGACAGAGCAATCATCACATTTTACTCATCTGTTGTGGTCCGCCAGCAGTCTGTGAAGCTGGCAGCAGAGTCAGACAGTGAGGACGCTGGGAAGGAACATGGGCCAGTCCTGGAGTCTGTGAAAGGCTCAGACAACGGCTTTGCATTGGAGGCAGAGAAAGGGCCATCTGGGAGGTACATGCTGCCTCCGGAGCCTCCAGAGTCAGAGCTCAGCGAGGCATAGGAACAGGGGGAGGCTGTTCCCAGTGTGCACATGCGCAGAGCTGCCAGAAGGCAAGAACAGTTAAAACAAAAGGGATGACTTGGGAGTAGGGGTTGGAGATAATTGGCCCCTCCCATAAGACTTAAAAGAAGAGCAAAGGCACGTGGGCCTTTGCAGGAAGCAACGTTGTTAATTCTGTGCAGTTTAAAATCTGAAGATTTGTTTGATTCTGGACTCCGTGTGGCTTTGCCAATTAGGTCTTTGACAGCGTGTCAAGGGTGATAAAGGTTGGTGATTATCAGCCTTATCCCGAAGGACTCTTTACAACTATTTGGGACTCATCTGTGAATGAACAGAATTCACAGCTGTTAAAATAAAACAGGTTTTTGGGACTACTCGTGTGTTATACTGACTCAGGAAGCCTAGGTCAGAATACCATCCTGGAAAGGTTTTGGGCTGAACAATGGCCATATTCTGCCTCTCAAATAAAGGATTTGATCACCTTGTATTGCTATTCTCTCCATATTCTGCTTCTTCCCAAATAATTTATGGCTAGTCTTTAACTCTTCCTGTTACTTAATATAGCCTCATCACCCCAGCATAAGTTTGAGAAGGAATCCAAGGATCCCTACATAAAATGGGCAGAGACTTCCAAATGCAGCAGTAGTGGCTTACCAAATCACAGGATTTATTGAAGGAAGAAAACATTAGAAGAAATCTAAAATAATTGAATGGCATCACTTTGTCTTTTTTAAAAAATTGGGAATCTAAGAAAGTGCTACCAGGCTCATCTTGATTTTCTGAAAGTACAGGACCAATTTTTTATGAGCACTAAAAAATATTTCAGAGTAGGTCTGGTGTACATTGGCATGAGCTATGCACACCTCCAGTCAACCTTCCACAATCAAATGATCCCCATATGCATCTGCTCAACCCTTAACCAAAAGCCAACATGGGTTTGTCAAAAACAGATCAGGCCAGACTAATCTTATTTCATTCTTTGACAAAGTGACAAAATTAGTGGACCAGAGGAATGCTGTCAATATAATTTACTTTAGTAAAGCATTTGATAAAGTAGATCATAACTTACTACTAGATAAAGTAGAAAAATATGGGTTAGACAGCATCACCACCAGATAGATTCGTAACTGGCTGACCAACCGCACTCAACATGTAGTCCTTAATGGAACTGCATTTACATGGAGGGAAATATACAGTGGAGTACCCCAGGGTTCTGTTTTAGGCCCAGTGCTCTTCAACATCTTCATCAATGACTTGGACGAGGGAATAGATGGGAAACTCATCTAATTTGAAGATGACACCAAGCTGGCAGGAATAGCCAACACTCCAGAAGATAGGCTCAAGATACAGAAGGATCTTGACAGACTTGAACATTGGGCGCTATCTAACAAAATGAAATTCATCAGTGAAAAAAGCAAGGGTCTACATTTAGGGAAGAAAAACAACATGCACAGGCACCGTATATGTGGTACTTTGCTCAATAGTAGTAACTGTGAGAGGGATCTTGGAGTCCTAGTGGACAACCATTTAGATATGAGCCAGCAGTGTGCAGCAGCTGCCAAAAAAGCCAACACAGTTCTGGGCTGCATAAACAGAGGAATAGAATCAAGATCACGTGAAGTGTTAATACCACTTTATAATGCCTTGGTAAGGCCACACTTGGAATATTGCATTCAGTTGTGGTCGCCACAATGTAAAAAAGAAAGAGTGCAGAGAAGAGCAACAAAGATGATTAGGGGACTGGAGGCTAAAACATATGAAGAACGGTTGCAGGAACTGGGTATGTCTAGTTTGATGAAGAGAAGGACTAGGGGAGACATGATAGCAGTGTTCCAATATCTCAGGGGTTGCCACAAAGAAGAAAGAGTCAAACTATTCTTCAAAGCACCTGAGGGTAGAACAAGAAGCAATGGGTGGAAACTAATCAAGGAGAGAAGCAATTTAGAACTAAGGAGAAATTTCCTGACAGTTAGAACAATTAATAAGTGGAACAACTTGCCTGCAGAAGTTGTGAATGCCCCAACACTGGAAATTTTTAAGAAGATGTTGTCTGAAGTGGTGAAGGGTTTCCTGCCTGGGCAGGGGGTTGGACTAGAAGACCTCCCTTCGAACTCTGTTATTCTATTCTATTCTATTCTATTCTATTCTATTCTATTCTATTCTATTCTATATCTCTACTCTACTCTACTCTACTCTACTCTACTACTCTACTACTCTACTACTCTACTCTACTATTCGCTGAGGTTATGAAAGCCAGAGCCCACTAAAGGCAAACATAGGAAAGGCTCTTTATATATCCAAAACAACTTAATTCAAGGCTATTATTCTTTATTCCATGTTCCTCACACACTTTTTTTTTGTATGTTCTAGTAAAGGATTAAAAGCTAAAACAAGTCTGCCAACCCACCTCCCAGACAATGTCCCCACGGAACAATTCTGTGCTGGCAATGTCCACCCGATTCCAGGCTACTGCCAGACGTAGCTCATCCAGATAACAGGTGGCCTTGCTTGACCGCTGACATCCTGCCAGGAGGAGAGAAAAAAAGTATAGCCATCATTGTTCATAGTTTTGTTATAATTTAAATGTCAGTTATTTTTCTGCCTGGCTCACTATCGATAAAACAGTCACTGCAATTTTAAGTCAATTTTTGCAATGTTTATAGGTAGTTCTCAACTTACAACCTTACAATGCTTAGTGATGGATAATTACAACCCAGTTCTGAAATTCCAACAGCCACTCACCCACAGTCACATGACCACATTTGGGATACTCAACAACTGACCTGCATTTATGGTTGTTTGCAGCATCCCACAGTCACATGACAGCATGTTGTTTTTGTCAAAAACTAGCAGTTACTTGTTTTCAATGGAACTGGTCCTTACTGAACTGGTTTACTTAGTAACCGCTGCATTCGCTTATCAGTTGTCACAAAAAAAGTTGTAAAATCAGGTTGGTCAGTTATGACCACAATGAGTAGCTTATGATCATTCATCAGGATCATAAAATGAGGATTATCTATATCTTCAGTGAGAAAGAGATAGGAATGGGTGCCTGCATCTGATGTAATCTATGCATGAGATCACCTCCAAGATTTCCTTTCTTTTATTGCTAGTACATTCTCCAAATCTCCCACTGTCAAAGGTGTGTCATAACATAGTCACTGTCTAGTCATTTAGGAATGTCTAACCAAACTGTTGAAATCATAATAGGATGTTACGCCAGAATGATTTTGATGGGTTTATATTATGCTATCTCATCAATTAATCTCAAATAAAGGAGGGGCTTCATGAATGGGAGCTGAGAAAATTGTTTTCTAAGACAGCATAAAGATGTTTGCATATTTAGGAACCATGTGTGTTCATGGCTGTGCCACTGATTTGCAAATAGCAATAGCACTTAGACTTATAATGCTTCACAGTGCTTTACAGCCCTCTCTAAGCATTTACAGAGTCAGCATATTGCCCCCAACAATCTGGGTCCTCATTTTACCGACCTCAGAAGATGGAAAGCTGAATCAACCTGGAGCCTGGTGAGATTCAAACTGCCAAACTGCTAGTAATCGGCAGTCAGCAGAAATAACCTGCAGTATTGCATTCTAACCAGTGAACCACCATGGTTCTTAACAAATAACAAATAATGTATTGGCAATAACATGTATTGGCAATACATGTTAGATAAAATGGAGTTGTCAGGGAGATTTCTTATGGAGTTCCATCATCTTAGGATGTTTGTGATATCTCTTATGTAGTTAGGATAGCAATTCTGGGAACTGGAATTTTAGTGAATTCAGCAGACACCCTTTGGGGACCAGGCTCCGCTAAAAAAACTTTCATGTCTAAATATTCCATATAACATAAACTTCCATTATATTAAAATAAGAAGACATAATTACTGTCTCCTAATCCTAAAAAAGCATAATTTATTGGAACCGAGTTTGTTTATTTAAAAGAAGGGGTAATCATATTTTTTTTACTGAAGCCCCCAATTTACCTGATCCACCCATATGCCAAATAATATGTGGAGGAGGGCATGGTGTATTCCTTTAAAATCAAGAAACTGAATGCTTTCTGGTTATGGTCAGCTTAGAAACTACAGTAGCTTCATGCCAGAACACAGTATAGGTAGTCCTCGATGTATGACCTTAACTGAGCCAAAAATTTCTGTTGTTAAGTGAGACATTTGTTAAGTGAGTTTTGCCCCATTTTATGACATTTCTTGCCCCAGTTGTTAAGTGAATCGCTGCAGTTGATAAATCAGTAGCCTGGTTGTTAAGTGAAACTGGCTTCCCCATTTGACAGAGGGTCGCAAAAGGTGGTCACATGACCTTGAGACTCTGCAACCATCATAAATCATCTGAATTTTGATCACTTGATCATGGGGATGCTACAAAGGTTGTAACCATGAAAACCAGTCATGAGTCACTTTTTTCAGTGCCACTGTAACTTTGAATGGTCACTAAACAAACTGTTGCAAGTCGAGGACTACCTGTACACAGAATGAAGCTCACAATCATTTCCCTTGATTTAAAATTAGAATTAGACTTTTCTGAGCTGCACATAAAAGCTTAAGTCTTTTATAAAAATATGTTGGTTAGAAAAGGTGCTCCTTCTGATTTTGTGTCATCTTAAACTAATATTGCTCCCTTCCTAGAGTGCCTCCCTGATTTGAGTGAGTTATAACTTGCTTTTCTTTTTAAATAATATACAAGATTATTTACTGTATTTAGTTTATATTTATAACTTAAGATGGCATCTATAAAGTGTCTTCATGGTATCTGAATTCTGAAATATGGGATATAACAGAACAGAATAACAGAGTTGGAAGGGACCTTGGAGGTCTTCTAGTCCAACCCCCTGCTTAGGCAGGAAACCCTACACCACTTCAGACAAATGGTTGTCCAATCTCTTCTTAAAAACTTCCAGTGTTGGAGCATTCACAATCTCTGGAGGCAAATTGTTCCATTGATTAATCTAACTGTCAGGATATTTCTTCTTAGTTCTAAGTTGCTTCTCTCCTTGATTAGTTTCCACCCATTGCTTCTTGTCCTACCCTCAGGTGCTTTGGAGAATAGCTTGATTTTGTCTTCTCTGTGGCAGCCCCTTAGATATTGGAATACTGCTATCATGTCACCCCAGTCCTTTTCATTAAAACAGACATACCCAATTCCGGCAACTGTTCTTTATATGTTTTAGCCTCCCCTAAATCATCTTTGTTGCTCTTCTCTGCACTCTTTCTAGAGTCTCAACATCTTTTTTACATCATGGTGACCAAAACTGGATGCAGTATTCCAAGTGTGGCCTTACCAAGGCATTATAAAGTGGTATTAACACTTCACGTCATCTTGATTCTATCCCTATATGTAATGTTTTTTTAAAAGATAGAGAAGGTTTGATAAAAATGGGAAATCAAGCAAACTAACGAAGTCTGGCATTATGACTCTTGGATATGAGATGTTAAGCTAACACATTATAGAAACACATACATCAATAAAATCAAGGCTTGTATGAATTCAGTTATTCAATAAGATCCCTGGCCATAAGTCTGCTAAAACCTTTTGGTGATATAAGTTTTTTTCTCTTTTCAATTTAATCTAAAAGTGTCCACAATACCGTTTGAGACTGCATATTTGTATCCATCGCTATTATGCGAAAAGGCTGCCTATCTTTGATTTAATTACCTTTCACTAGAGCTTTAAGCAGGACAGTCTCAAACTCTTCCAAACCTTCTTGGTCTGAATAGATGGTCACCAATTCCCTCAGATTCCCAATGCTTTCCACCTGAAAAGAAGACATGTAGACAAGTCATACATTTATCTTGGAAAAATCATACAGAGAGAGACAGAGACAGAGAGAGAGAGAGACAGAGAGATTTCTCCAGGGCCAATATCTTTTGGATTTTTGAGTTCTGAAATGTAGTCTAGAACAGGAGGAAATAGGAATGTAGTTCTGAGTGATATAAAAAGAAAGGAGAGATGGAAGGGTGTTACATACTAGGTCCTACCTGCTCAGCCAACTCCTCCAAGTCATTGTCTGGGAATTTTCTCTGCATTTTCTTCATTGCCAGAGTTTTCAGGGACTCCCCAGGTTGTGTTTCTTCCAACAATTCAGCCAAGCAGTCTGCTGCTCCCCCAGATCCAGCTATAAGGAGGCAGGGAATGGAGGCATGTACAGCCTCTGATACTCGCTTAGGAAATGAACAAGGCAGAAGCAACTGGTATGAGTAATGTGCACTTCAGGAATGAGCTACAAAGACAGCCTTCCTCAATCCTGTGTTTCATCTTCTCTCATCATCCGCAACTAGCTTCATCATCCCCAATTTACCATTCCTCATTGTCTTTCTCTTCCTCTTTGACCTTTGAATTTTAATTTGTTCATGTCTGTTCTCAACTCCCATGATCTCACATCTTTAACTCTCTCCTCTCATTCTTATCATCCCACCTATCTTTAAAAATTCAAAACTCCTCACACTTTCTTCCATAAGGATAATTGCTTTCTCACATTTCATGATCCATCTCTCCATCTCTTAGTTTGTTTCTAGAATGCCTTGTCTATATTCTGTTGTCAGATCTTTCCTTCCTCTTTCTTCCCCCCCTACCCCCACCCCCCGAACACAAATGAATTGAATCATAGATTTTACACATTTTCCCCATATTACGTATTTTGTGCATAGGAAGACCAAAGTTTCCATCTTGGTCTATTCACTTCTTCAGTTCTGTGTTTCTTCTTTGTCTTCCTAAGACCACAGCAGATTTAGGTACTGGTAACTACAATTTTGGACTTAATAATCTTATTATTGCTTTCTCTTCAAATCAATTTTGTTTTCTCTCCAAAAATTTTTATGGAGCACTCTTTCACTGGAAAAAGAGGGTTACATGCCTTCACACCCAAATGTGGTAGCTTAATCCTGTTATAGTTAGAATGGAACTATGGACCACTTCCCTAAAGTCTGATGGTGAAATTATTTCTGTTCAAGGACACTTCATCTTCTTCCACAACACCTCAATTCCTTTACCTTGAATATGGCTGCATCCCCACTGATGAGCAGCAGCAACACAGGAATCTCAATACTCCCTTCACCTGTAGGGTGGAAGAATGGCAAAATGGGGAAAAATTGTTAAGGGAACAGTGGCCAAACCAAGTGCAGGTAAAATGATGTTGAAAGACCAAAGGCATATCATAATATGCCTTTGGTCTTCCAACATCATTTTACCTGCATTATGATAGAATCCCATGGTGGATTTCAACAATGGAAGCACAAATATATCCAAACACTATGGACACAAATAAAATGAAAGAGTATCAAGAACTCTTAAACAATGAAGGGAAATTAAAAACCAGAGAAGAATTAAAAGAACAAGGTGTGGAAATTGACTGGTGGCCATACCTGCAATTAAAATCCAGATACAAAATGGACATGGAGAAGTATGGGATTCAAAAAGAACCAAATCAATTGGATAAAATACTATTGGGCCCAAACGAGAAATTAATAACCAAACTTTACAATTTTTTACTTGCATACAAATTAGAGGAAGAAATAGTAAAAGAGAATATGATTACATGGGCGAAGAACTTTGGGTACAGTATTGAATTAACCAAATGGGGAAAACTATGGAAAATCAACAGTAAATTGAACTATCAGTATCATATAAAGAAAATGCCTACAAGATGTTTTATAGATGGCATCTTTCCCCCTGCCCGGATTTCAAAAATGTTTCCCAACACTTCTCCACTCTGTTGGAAATGTAAAAAACAAAAAGGGACATACTACCACATGTGGTGGTTATGCCCAAAAGCAAAACAATTTTGCAATAAAATCAAAACCCAATTGGAAGAAATAACAGCACAAAAAATACCATTAAGACCAGAAACATATTTATTAGGTATATTCACAAACAACTATGAAAAAGAAACAATATATTTAATTACACATATTTTGACTGCAGCGAGAATCATTTTCGCACAAAACTGGAAATCAGAAGAAATCCCAACTCAAGATAAAATAATATCGAAAGTAATGGAATGTGCCGAGATGAACAAACTCACTAAAGAAATTCAAGAAAAGGAAGAATCTGAATACTACCTAGTTTGGCATAAGTGGTATCAATGGCTGGAGAAAAGGAAAACCAAATAAAAGATGATCCTAAAAGATTTGAACCAATTTGTGTACCAAATGAGACATATTAGAGTTAAAATAGAACTTTAAAAAATATCGTTATATAAAGTGAGATGTGGATATAGATATTGAGGAATGTAATATACCGATGTACTATCTTAAGAAATAAGTCATTACGTTTAAATGTTATATATGTTGTGTATTGTATTGTTTTATTTGTACTTTGTCTTTTTCTGTGTGTGTATGTTTTTAAAATTAATAAAATAATAATAATAATAATAATAATAATAATAATAATAATAATAATAATAATAATATTAGGAAGACGAAAGGCAAACATTTTTTGCTGCCATTCTGGGAAGAAAATAAGGTCAAGATAACGATCCCCTCAAACTAAGTTGAGTTTGAGCTAAGATGATGAATGGCATAGATACATCATATTGTCATATTGTTTTCTTGGCTATAGTATGAAAGTGATTTGTCACTACTTTCTACCGGGGTACTTTTTTCCTACTTTTTCAGTCTTACTTACAACAAAGGGATTTTTTAGACTCTTTCGTATAAATGTTGGCGCAATGGCTCATCTGAAAAGCCTACAGCCCAGGTTCGAGACCCAAACATTGAGGAACAAAGTGAGCACCCATTTTCACGTAGCTCCTGCCCACCTAGCAGTTCAAAAACACGCAAATGCAAGTAGATAAATAGGTACTTGGGGAGAAACAGCTCTCCATGATGTTACACTGGTCACAGAAATGTCTTCGGATAGCCCTGGCTCAATGGCCTTGAAATAGAGATGAGCATGGTCTCATGTAGTCAGCACTGATTAGTGGAGTAAAATCTGCAGGGACTCCTTTCCTTTCCTCATGTAAGTATTATCTAGGTTCAAAACTGCCTAGCTTTTCAAGCTCAGTGCAGAAGAAAAGAAATTTCTATGAAAAAAAGTTAATCTGGGGCATAAAAGTATAGGAGAGCGATCCATATAATTCTGAGTAAATATGGATTAACCAGCATAGCTCTCTGGTTGTGGTCTGGCTTGGGAGTAATTAACAGAATTAATATTTAGGTGCAAAGTGTCTGTAATGAGGCTTGCCAGAACACTGTATTTCTTAAAGAATTGGAGGAAAGAGTATCCTGTGATCAAAAGGAAAGATAAATTATTGTTGTAGACATAGTGGAGTCAGCACGCAGATTAGAGCCAAAGATTTACAAAACAGGTGGTGTTTCTTCTCATAAAGTAAAGATGCAGAAATGAAGGAAATAGAACCAGAGGACAGTATAAAAGTTGTGAGTCTGGATGAACCCTCACCTCCAGGCAGGCACCCCTGAACACAGAGCTTATACTGCACCCTGAGAAAGCTAGCTTTTGGGCCACATTTTAAGGGATGTAGACCAGAACACAGAAATCTGGTGACTTCCAAATATATTAAATTGCAGTTCATATGTTCTTTAGATTTCGCTATCTAAGGATTATAGAAGCTGAAGTCTGACTTATCTGGAGATAAGAAAATACTATTAGTCTGTTGCAGGGAGCATAATAAACAGGGTAACTTCCTGTTCCATGTTTTATGTTCCTGTCTACATAAGAAATTCCTCACCTCCAGCTCCCACTTTCTGCTGGGCAATGTAGCGTTCCAAACGGGCTCGAAAGGCAGCCTCTCCGCCTGCTCTGCCCAGTGTCCCATTGTCCACCAAGAAGAAGGTGGAATGGTTGGAATCTAGAGGGCAGTAAGGACTCACAGGATTTGTCCTGGGGTAACGTGCTGGGAAGGAACCCTTTAGGATAAGAAAAGAAGCAAATTAATCAAATGAAGTAAAGACAGGCATTATTGCCTTTTTGTCACTTTGAGCTAAATTAGGAACTCAGCTTTTGAGAGATCAAGAATTAAGTGGCGAACTGGGAAATATAGAGAATACAGTGCAAGGGAAAAGAAATGGGTAAAGCCAGCACTTTAATAATTAACTGAATTAATTTAATCAAATTATTCAAATACAGTTAAAGTAGCTCACACTTCATGTATTATTTTCCCATTTTAGATATTAAACTTGAGTGGGGGCTCATATGGACCATTTCTATTGGTTCCAGGGGGTATCTATGGTCTTAGGACCTCACCTGTAACTCTGTGTTAAACTTCCCAGACTTAATTCATTATCTCTGTTAGCATTTCCCTTCTCCAGCCCTCCTACCTTGGGGTTGACAAGACAATGGTTCTGCTCAACAATACCCCATGGAGCAATGCCCATTGCTACAACATGAGTGCTGCGGCTGGTACTGGCCATAGCGTGGTCTCTCACTGCTTCCCCCACATACCGGCCCACACCAGCTTGGAGACCACTTGTCATAATCCAGGCACCTGCATACAAGTAATAAGTACAGTAAAAACTATATAAGTATATGGGCTATTCATGGTATTTCAATATTTGGGAAATCATATGAACATTGAAGTTAAATTAAGTATTATTCAGTTTGTTTAAATGATCACAAGAGAGTTTAAGAAATCATGATGAAAAACATGATCAGACTTTTGACCACACTGTGAAATCCTAAACCAAGCTATCAGAATGACACCCATTTCCTTATTACTATCACACAACTAGATCTGTTATAATAGCTCACATGACTGAGAAATGGCCATATATGACCATTAAGCAAACTGCAATCTTAGTACATGTTACAGTATAAACTCTTATCTCAAAAAGGTACCTATTAAAGGATCAATCAAGTTAGAACCAACCTTTTCAGCATCCACCCATCCATAGATTCAGCGCTATCTTTTCAAACATGAGTGCTATTACACAACCAGAAACTCCTCTATTATGCATATAAAGTCAGCATTTTTTTTTTAAAAAAAAGGCACCCTTAAAGAAGGGAGAATTTGTCCATGCAAGTGTGCTCCCTGCTGAATAATTACACTATCCCTCCACACCTTTCTTTACTCATGCAATAGGTTGTATCAGAAAAGACTTGGTCAAATATATACAATTTGCCAAGTATGGAACAAAGGTTTCAGTATTTTCCCTGCATATCTTGTTAGTAGAAGCAGCTAGATTAAGCAGACATAATTCACTACTCAGCAACTGAAGACTATTGTTACCAGCAGTATATAAAATTCATGAATTAAATTCTGTATTATGCAATGTCTTAGAACTTGGTTTTTATTCATTTTTTCTTTATCCCTACTCACAAAAGTCTTCAAAATTTTAACTCTTTTGTAAGAAAGCTATCCACATCACTCCTTTAGTTTGTTATTAGCATATTCCTTTTAATTATTAAAACATCAGCTAATTTTCTTTATATATCCAGTGTAGCACCTTTTTGCATATATTCTTATAGCCTTTCATTTTTAAAACCACTTTCAGATCAGTTTCAATCTTGTCCAGTGAATCTTTTTCCTCTTCCATAATATCTTTTAAAGATTATCTATAACGGTGACATTCTTAAAATCAATTTCTGGGTCCATTGTTCAAAATATCCTTCAATATGTCTTGTGTTAAGTATTTTGTTTCATTCTTCATTAGTAAGTCAAATTTAAGTTTTCTTCTCCTTTAAGAGTAATCTTTAGTTTCTTCACCTTCCCTCAAGTGTTCAACCTTCCCATCCTATCATTTTTTAAAAATAGAAAATAACAGCACTTTCCCACAGGAAAGATTCTTAAAAGTAATTTCAAAATCTTATTTCAAAGCCACCTGGATCCTTATTGCATTTGCAAGTTTACAAAGTCAACATTCTAATCACCCTTTGGCTGTGTCTAAAACAAGATTTTAAATCCTTAAATTTGTATTTTAAAACTTCTTTTGCTAAAAAAAAAATGAAGGAAATTCACCCAGTGCTATAAAACTTATATTTCTGAAGATTTCTAATGCAATTTACAAATGTGATTTAAAAACTATGCAGTAGAACAGAACAAGTCAGGTTTGCACAACATTGAAAATACACTACTATAAAACATGCTCGATATTCCTATTCTTTTTATATTCAAGAAACCTAAACTAAGAAGCATGTTTACATAGGTTTACCTAGTTGCTATGTAATATGCACACATATCTTTCAATAACTTTCAAGAAAGCATTTCTTCCCTACTGTTCCAATAGCAAAGATATGCTAGCATACCCGATCATTGTTATTCAAATGTATCTCACATCAAACTAACTGTGGCTTCCCAGCCCTTCCTTCAAAAGCTTCAGCCCCTTGTTCTGCAGTAATGTTTTAAAATGGTTAGTAAAATTAAAGCAAACCGCAGGAAGAGATTACCTGTGCTCTGAGCTGCTTTAACCAGCCCCTTTCTCAGCACATCTTTGAGCCAGGCCCTTACGGGCCCCTCACCTTCGCCTCCCACCACTGACACCACCAAGTTGGGATGTGGGATTTTCCAGTGATGCGTTACTAAATTATAAGCAGTTCGAGGATCAGATGAGTCAGAGAGGCGAATGAACTGCAAGGGAGAAAAAAGGATTAGACCAAAGAGACAAGCCCTGAATAGTTTTATCTAGAGTCATCCGTTTTTGTTACACTTCAGGCATCTTACTCTCTGGACTCATCATCTTTCTTCCCACATAACTGTTGTCCTATATGGGCCACTTTGAGAGACTTTTCCAGGTGTTCCTTTTTAAGAGGTCTGGAGTACTTACCTGCAAAGATAGCCAGTATGGCAATTCATTGCTACAAGTACCCATTCAAACAGCTATCTAGAAAGTGGCTAGTTCAATAGCCAGACAGAAAATATGGTCAATACAAGGGTACATTTGGAAACAATGAAGGGAATCATGGACCTTCATCCTACTTCAGGCACATGTCCTTCTGAGCTGCTCCTGCTTTATCCTCCAATATCCCATCATTGGGTCCAGGGGTGGGTTCTACTTACCTTCACTACCAGTTCGCAACAGGATTGCACGTGCGCACTTGCTTCTGCACATGCGCAGATCACTGATGATAACATCCGGTGTGGTGGGTGGGATCTCCTGCTGGTTTTACTACCGGTTCTTGCAAACTGGTCCAAACCGGGAGCAACCCACCACTGATTGGGTCATCTCTGACTACATATGCCCTCCTTCTTGTCATTACATTTAGGGTTGGGAAATAGTTGCTTTGTCTTTAGCCCCTTAGTCTTCAACCATAATCCTGACTTTATTGGAATCCTTAGCTTAGCTCTTGTCCTATCACAAGCTCACCTTGCTCGGTCTACGGCTAGTGCCTAGAAATTCCACCTCCCCATATGCATCAGTTGGACTCTCTGTGGTATGTTGCGCTGAGTCCCATTTGCTGACAATGGCTGCTCCAAAAGCATCTTCTATGGCTACTGATGTATGGTTTTTGCGAGGACTGCCACACTGGCAGAAATTGGAGGCACTATGAAACAGAATGATGGGGAAGGAATCAGAACACCTATAACTCTGAGATCCAGTATAACAATTTGAGGGAGATAGGTGGATTAGAAATATGAATTATCAATAAATGAACAAATTTTCTTTTATCTTTTACATATTTTAATGCTCAGTAGAGTGAGGATTTTTTGGGGGGGGGAATATTCTTTTGGGTCAATGTTGACTCCTGACAACTGTACCAGACTAACCCCTGTAATTTTCTTAGCAAGATTTTGGAACTTGTTTGCCATTGCCTCCTTCTTAAGGCTGAGAGAGAATGACTGGCTCAAGCTTATTCAGCTGGCTTTGGGCCAAAGATAGGACTAAAACTCATGATCTCCCAGTTTCTAGCCTGGTGTCTTAACTACTATTACAAACTGGCTTTCCAGTATGCTCAGTAATTCAGTAATATTCAGATATGTTCAGATATAGGTAACTCCTAGCAATAGTCAGGGGGGAATATATATAAGGGAAAAGTTCTGGAACAATTTGCACTGAATCAGTTATTTTGCCCTAGGCATAGTGTGTTCAATTTGAGTGTGGCCTGAAGAAGGATATAGAATAAACTGATGGCTCTGTAGATGTTTGATTCTAGTTCCTGTCATCTCTGGCTGCTGGCCAAAATGGCTGACACTGAAAGAAGTTGGAGTCAAGAATTTGTGAAGATGAACAAATCCCTCATTCTTGATATAAGCAAACTGAAAGAGATTCAAGAAGGACAAAGAATTTGGGGAAATTTGAAATTTGAAGGAACAATGTATGTTTAACTTCAGAAAATGAAGACTCCTGGTAGCCATGCACAAAAAGTGATATTTGGCATATGAACAATTTAAAAAACAAAAATACACAAAATACATATTTAGGGAGCTATGCAATGTAATGGTGTTTATTGGATAGGATAATTGTTGCCAAATACAAATACTTTTGAACGTTACTACAACTTCTAGAATCTTTCAGAGGTGTCCATGAATTTAAAAATGTAATTCAACAACTTCAAAAAGAGAAGGGATGGAGTTAAAGCATTAGAACAAGGACAGAGGTGAAACAGAGTCATGGATAAAGAAACAAAAAAGGTACTATGAATTGAAGCCATGGGAGAGTGGAGGTGGGTAGGAGACAGAGAGAACAAGAGGGAGCAAAGCAGAGGGAATCTGTGTGGAAGGCTGGTTAGAAAAAGAATTTTATTATCAAAAGACAAGACGACAAGTTGCCATTCCACATACCCATTTAAAAATTGATGGAATTTAATTTGCATCTTGTTTCTGTATCAACAAAAATCATTCTCCATGTCATCTGACTAAAGCTGATTGTTTGGGAAGCCAATATAAGGATTCAGGCCACCTACAATTCTGTTTTCCAAAATAAAGGGATGCCCAGGGAAATAGCAGCTAACGTTCTCTCACAACCCAGTAGCCAGATCCTGAGGCAATGCTTTAATTCCAAAGATGACTAAACCAATGGTGAGAAAGAGGAAATTACTGGAATAAAGCATGGCACGGAGGATGCCCAGCATACATTGAGCCAAATGTTCTACCCAGAGTTTAGCAGTGCTGAAATGTAAAATATAGATAGGGTGAGTGAAGCTTAAGTCTCACATGGGGATCAGAGGGCAGATTTCAGAGAAAAATTTCAGAGAAATGCTAAACTATAAATGAGCCTCAGAGGGGGTTAGAAGTGCCTGCTTACATATATTTCAAACAGCAGAGAAAAAAAAATCAAGCTTTACTCACCCTGTATCACTAGGTTGCTCAATGAAAGTTGTGCAGACTTTCTTCCTGAAATATTTGGGGATCCATGCCTGGAAATAAATCACAGTTACTATCAGCATCTTCCAGAGGTTTAGGTAACCCAGTCCACAGCAAACATCTGATTGAGGACCCAATACCTGATCTTTTGGGTCAGAAGTGGCCATGGAGCAGAGCAATCAGTCACAGCCACAGGTTGCTTGGAGCAGAAGTCTCAAACCACAGTGCCTACTCTTTAATCTACTGTGCATAAATGAGAGAACAAGCAGGAAGAACAGTTTCAAAATCCAGCCTCTTGGCAGCAGCACCGCACCCTATACAGGAACTTGTTGAACTGGATAAACACTATCCAGTGGGTAGAATGAAATTCCCCAAGAGCTAGATTTTCAACAGTTATCTGCCTAGCAATATTTGTATTATTGGTAAGTCTGTGTGTTTGTCAGGGTGTGTGTGCACTGAGATGTTCAACCGTGAAATCTATTCCAGAGTCCTCTCAATATTATCCAGTTCATGCATTCACTTTGCGATCTTCAATTTTCATATTCATAATAGGAGGATGAAAGGAGCATTAGGTATGCTCACTGCCTTGAGTTATTTATAAAAATAATAAGGGTGGGATTAAAAAAAAAAAACTAAAAAAATACGTTAATCAGCTTCTTTTTGTACAGGCAACAGATGTGCTTGAAAGTCTGGAAGTGTTTTTTTTTCCTCCTGCATTTAAAACAATCAAATCCTGTAATTTGCTTTAATTGGACATGGAGTGTTGAGCTATTAATGGGTGGAGAACTGAGGTGAGTTGGTTCATTTTGGAGGTTTTCTCTCTTTCTGCTGTCATTTCTAATTCCTCTGAGGGTGGAAGACATTTGCAGCATATCACATTGTTATTGAAAATGGAAAAGGACGATAGTAAAAGCTTTATAGCAAGGGTTGGGCTTTATTTATTTATTTAATCAATTACAATCACTTCAGGGCAGTATTTCTCAACCTGGCAATTGTATGATGTGTGGACTTTCCCAGCCAGCATATTTCTATTTACTTCTTTCTTTCTTTCTTTCTTTCTTTCTTTCTTTCTTTCTTTCTTTC